CAGCTCGCATCCGCCTCTCCCGGGCCAGGGGCTCAGAAAAGCAGCGCTCGGACGCGGCGGGCGTTCCCGGCCTTCCGCACAGCCCCCCAACACCGTGGTCACCGTGACCGCCCAAACCCCCCAAGAAGCCCCGCGCAACCTTTCGCACACACCATGGACTGCCCGGCGCCCCGGGCTCCCCTCCTTCCCGCGCAGCTGGCCCTTACCGGGGACCCTCGGGTGCCCCCAGCACGCTCTCCCGCGCCGTACCGCCCTCATCGTGGACTCCGCCAGTGCCCCCCAGCTCCCTCTCACCATGGTTGTTCCGACAGGTGACGTTTGCGGAGGGTCGTTGACTGCAGACGCGTTACGAGTCTCCAGCAACACCACGAATCCCGGTGCAGGCCCTCTAGTTGGGGCTTATATATCCCCGCCCAGCTGCCGGCCATGCCTCCCAGCGGGGCTCCCATTGGGCCGCAGCCAGACGGGGCCCGCCCCCTCCGCGTCTCTCATTGGGCCAGATTCCCACCGAGGCCCGCCCCCCTCTCCGCTATTGGGCGGGCGCTTATGAAATATCCCCGCCGTAGCCGGTCATTGGGCAGTTTGTAAAGCCAAAGGGAGGGAAAGCCTCCAGGGTCCGAGCCCTCCAGGTCAGCTCGACCCTCTTGCCCTCTGTTGGAGGTGTGCCAGGTCTGAGAGGTTGGCGCTTTGGAGAAACACCATTGTTCCGTCGTTGCCTTAGGCTCATTATATGGGTAACATGGCGGACCTAGTTCGAAAAGTGCATAAACCTTGGACGGTGGCGCAGATTTGAAATCCTCAACCGCTAGAGAAGGAAAGATGCTGTGATGAGAACCAGGTACTGGGAACTTCTGGGGAGAGACAAAAATGCGGCTAGGGTGGGGGAGGGGGACAGGCAGGTGTGGGAGAGAGCATTCCAGGCGCGGGTAATTGAAATTTACTTCCCTTTGACTGGGGCAAGAGCTTCAGATCAGGTGACTCAGATTGCAGGAGAGCAAGGGGCACAGGCTGCTAAGGCGATTGAAGAGGACTTGTAGGGTGAACATAGATGTTACTTTGAAGAGTTTGCACACAATTCCACTGGCTATGGGGCACCTTTGTGGGCTCTTGACTAGAAGAGTGATGTGCCAAGCAGTATTTTCGGCGGTTCATAGATGTTACCTGTGTATTTTTTTTTTTTTTCCGGTGGTGGTTTCTTAGCTGTCTGAGATGAGGTTTTACTTCTAAATCCCTAAGCAACACAAATTAGCCCATTTCCTAGTTTGGGAGGGTTAATTGGCATTTGGTTTTATTAAATGACTGGACACCCCACAATGATTACCTTAATATTTGTTCAGCACATTCCAGAGGAATCCAAGGCATCTGTCATCTCCTGTTCTCACTTCCCATTGGAAAGGTGACTGCACCCAGATTATGCCAGTCAGGCCTGGAGATTTGAATTGTTGCTTTAGGAAAATCTGCAGCTATAATGACTTTCTGTTGATACAACCCAGGAAGACTCAAAGTTACTGTGTCATTCACCAATGTGACATCAGATCAGCTGCCCCCTGGATTCCTGCACCTGTTTTCCCACAAGACTTTAGACATGTTATTCAAAAGTATTCTGAAATATTTAAAATATTTTGAAACTAAGTACTTGTCTAGGTGGCTTGGTGGTTTAAATTCAGGGTGCAGAGGTTAACTTCAAACTCTGAAGAGTGTTCTTTGATCTCAACCCTTGTGTTTTATGAGGCTGCCAGCTTTAAAGTGGTTATCTCTGGTCAAGGGATAAGGTGAGAGAGTGTGGGTGAACATTCAAATAAGTACTTTGAAAACCCTTGTATATACAAAGCTAAGATGTGGTTATTCATTGTCACAGGCCCAAGCAAAACAACTCAAATGTTACATCTTACTGAATATGGGCATATCAGTGATTAAAATGAAGCTATCTGGCCATAAACTCAAAAAGTCATAAACTCAACACCATCATCTCTTCCTTGCCTGGTCCTATTTAGGCATTCATCCCACCAGCTGGTAGTGTCTGCCTGTTCAAAATGTCCTTCCGTTTCTTTACTGAATAGAGTGAGTGGGCTCTACACCAAATATAACTATATTTGCAACAATAATCTTGTGTTATTTGTGGAAACGACACAAACCAACCTCTCTCGACGATATGCTTCTTTATAGAGCACAGATTGATAGTAGTTCTCTTATAAGGTGTTTGGATTTATTTCTATTATCTAGACGGCTGCAAAGCTTAGATTCTTTTTCTAACTTTCATCATCTTTTTCTCTATATCACTCCACTGATCTCCAGCTTAGTGCCATTGCAGATGTGCCATTTTCACACAGTTCTTCAGGAATTTAAGATATACCAAAGTTCGGAGAGAAAGGTCATAGTTACCTCTAGGTTTCAAGCAATCTAAAGATTCCTGATAAGTCTGCATCCTTTCTCCATGGGTACTTGCTCCCTATCCTGCCTTGCCACAAAGAATCAAATAACACTGAATTGAAAGGACAACCACAGTCCGACTGGGCGAGGGAGGGGCAAAGAAGTTGGAGAGGCTTTGTGGGAACAAGAATATCCTGTTCATCCACTGGTGAAGAATGAAGGTAGACAGGGAGACACCAGGGCCATACCTGAGCTATTCATTCTTGAGTCAGTGCCAACATTGCAGAGGTAGTACCTGGTTTTCAAATGACCGAATTATTTAACAACTGATGGTCACTCTAGCAAAGTTGCCAAAGTTGGGTGTGTCCATGAGCTCACTCCCCTCACCATTGTCTTATCTTAACATTCATCTACCCTGTGACTGGGGCAGCTGCTCCGTAGGATGGAACCTCCTCTCCACCCAATCCCTATTTCGCATCTCATACCAGAATCCATTTAGGACAAAGTAGGGAAGGGATGTGTAAACTTATGGGAGTTGATTACTCTCCCCTCACTTCCTTAGGACCGTAAGTGTCCCTAGCCCACATTCTGTCTCCTCACCAGTGCCCCCAGGTCATGGTTCATCCTGGCCCCCAACCTGAAATAGGATGTCTGGGGTCACCAGGTCTGGATTTTGGAGGGACCCTGCTCTAATTTGTAGCAGAGGACTTGTTCCTGACATGAAGAAATGAGAACCATTGATTGTAATATTGTGCTCTGGGTACACACAGTTTTGTGTCACAGGCTACTAATTACTCATCATGGATAACACATTGTTTCTACACAAGGCTAAATGATTTCTAAGTTCCAATAGATTTGAGTGAATATAGTGGATACTTCTCTCACTTAACCTTAAATTCTGACATTTAAACACATTTAGACATATTCCAGGAATTTAATTCTCCAAACACAAGAACACCTTGGTCACAATGGAAAGATTCACAATACTGAAGTTAACACCTTTATTTTCTTACCCTATGAAGACTTAGACGTGGTCATGACCACATAGATGTACTCTGTGCATGATCCTGTACCACGTCTGTTTTCATGGTCTTTATCAAAAAGCTTTGGGGAAAACAAACAAACAGTGCAGTACCTAACCTCTAACCCACTATTATTCACTGCATCAGAAATATAATTCATTCTAGGGACGCCTGGGTGACTCTGTCAGTTAAGCATCTGCCTTCGACTCTGGTCATGATCCCAGGGTCCTGGGACCGAGCCCTGCATCAGGCTCCCTGCTCCGCGGGGGTTCTGCTTCTCCCTCTCCCCCTCCCCCGCTCCTTCTCACTCTTGCTCACTCTCTCTCTTAAAGAAATAAAATCTTAAAAAAAAAACAAAAAACTTCCACTGAATTCTTTATTTTGGTTATTGGATTTTTTAAAATTCTAGAATTGGTATTTTTTTCACATGTCCAGGTATCTGTTCAAATTCCCAGAACTCGTTTATCTCCTTGAATAGAGTAAGGTTATTTTATCGTCTGTTTGATAGCTCCACTATCTGCGGCTCTTGTTTCACTGGTTTTCTTTACATCTTGTCTCAGATGCTTGGCTCCATTTTATTGTATTCACGATATTGTATTAGCAAAGTTACTGTAGAAACAAATCAAAGGGGGCGCCGGGGTGGCTCAGTTGTTAAGCGTCTGCCTTTGGCTCAGGTCACGGTCCCAGGGTCCTGGGATCGAGCCCCGCATCGGGCTCCCTGCTCCGCGGGAAGCCTGCTTCTCCCTCTCCCACTCCCCCTGCTTGTGTTCCCTCTCTCGCTGTCTCTCTCTCTGTCAAATAAAGAAATAAAATCTTAAAAAAAAAAAAAAGTCAGAGTTTAGGATGATGACATTTTTCTCCAGAGTGCGTTTTTGTTTGCTTATGCCAAGGGTTTGGGGAAATTACCACTTTGGGATCCACTTAATCTAATTTCACGGACTGGTATCATTGGAAGCCAAGCTGCAATCCCTTAAGAGAGCCTTTCTATTTCCTACTTCTGGCTCACCCCTCTTCTTGGGGTGCAAAAGACCGAGCGCCTCAGCCCAATGTGACAAACATTTACCAGGTCTACCACTCTTTGACAGGCCCAGACCCCTACTTCTGGAAGGCTGTCACAGTCACCCACCAGCCTCTGTCTGACCTGCCCCCCTCCACATTGCAAACGCCCCCAACAGAAGAGTGGCCTGTAATACTGAGCCCACTTCTCCGGGCCTCAATCTTCTCAGTGGTCCTGGTCCAGTAATTCTTCAAACACGTTAGCTCTCTGATGCCTTTGGATTTTTAAAATATTTTGTCCAGCCTTTCTAGTTGCCCTCAGTGGGATGGTCATCCAAAATTACCTATCCACCATTATCAGGAACAGAAGTTCTCATTAGTTACACATTTGGAGTTACTTGAATAGGTTCACACACGGCATAGTAACAATATGTAAAATGTCAGTACACCGGTATCCACCTCTGATCCTGTGTTAAAAAGAATTTTGTAGAAACAGTGAGGCCTTGGAAAAATCAATTGCTCTCCCTAACAGCAACTGCAGGTTTCTGTACTCATAGCAGCAGGTTTCTATACTCATGGGCTACTTCTTTCTACCTATGACAAAGCAGTTAATGATTTCACAAGTCTTTATTGAGAGCCTGTGAGAGCCTATTATGCGTAAGGGGAACAAAGAGGTGACATCCTCATTTTATAGCAGACACTAAATGATTAATTCGTTGAAAGACCTCAAGAGAAACCCTAAGGTTCAGGTTTCTGCTCTCCTCTGCTTTTTCAAATTGCATATTCTTCCCAAGGACATACAGGAATCTAACTTCTACTGTTTAAATGCCTTTATTTCAAATTAAACTGCAAAGGCAGAATAACAACTTGATAATTTTTGGCTACTGGGGCAACAATGTTTGGCAATTCTTTAAAAAAAAATACAAATGACCAATAAGTATATAAAAATTTCATTAAGCAAAATAAATGCAAATTAAAACAATGAGATACTTTTTCTATTAAAGTGGCAAAGTACTCTTTTAATGATAATAAATACCCAGTGTTAGGAAGGTTTCAGAGAGATGAGTGCTCTTCTACACTGCTGGAGGAGGGTGAAATTAGCACAGCTGTTTTTGAAGAATATGTGTCAATGGAGCAAATCCATGAAAACATGCATACCCTGCAATTCTACTTCTAATAACGTAGGAAATAATTAAGAATGTGTATACAGATTTAACTATAAAGTTGCACGTTACATCACATTGTTTATAAGAAACTGGAGGCAATCTAATAGTAGATTGTTTAAATAAATAATACAGAAATACAATGGAATACTAAAAACAAGGGTGTCCATAGATGGTTATCTGTTAACGTAGGAAGTCAGTATTTTGTCAAATGGAAAAATCAAGTTATAAAAGAGCACAGTATGATATAGTATTTCTTTTTAAAAACCGTATATGTTTATATATACATATAGAAAAACACCGAGAACCGGAGTTTCACCACATTACCAGAGGCAATCTCTGGATGGTGGAAATGAATGATTAAAAAAATGTTTATACCCATTTTTGTATTTATCTGCAATGAATGTGTACTATTCTGTGATTAAAAAAGGAAAAAAAAGTCAAAGTCTAATTAAAAAAAAAATGCTTTGTGTATGTTTTGGCTTGTGATAGGAGGGGCCACATGCCCCTAGAGGCATCTACTTGGTTTTGTTCCTTCTGACCTGAGTGGATAATTCTCACAGTTGTTTTTCTGCAGATGCCATGACCATGGACATCTGACTGTCTAGAGAACGGTTCTCCCATTTTCAGCTAGAGCTCACCGAGGCCATGACTGGGGAAGGAAGCCACCTTTCTAGAGTAGGTTGGTTGCAAAACCATGTCCAAGGCCTGCACTTTAGTTGGGGAGCCCTTAGAAAAGTTCTGGGGAGAAAGAAGGCAGAAGCAAGCAGAAAACAGATACAGAAGGATGGGCTGTAGATTGTAGGGTTTCTCTTTAGTCCTTATTTCAATTTTAGGGTCTCCTCAATCTTAGAGGTAGGGCCTATGGGAGGACACCTGAGACCTGGTCATAGAGATTCCTAAGATGTTGCGTCACTTCAGAAGAGAAATGAGAGAACAAGTGACAATCATATTGAAGGGTGAATAAGTTTGCTAACACTGAACTGTTAGAACGGCCCCACAGCCATAGTGACAGTGGCATTTGGACAGGAAGTCTGTGCGCTCAGTTGGTACGGGGATTCCAACTGAACCACAACTCTGAGGGCCATGCTTAGTAGGTTCGGCAAATGATGACACTATCCATTGGAGAAGTCTTTCCTAAGAACAAAGGAAGAGCCACTCGCGCAGATAAGACACACCTGTAAAGTCATGTATAACGTGGCAACGGTCTGTCCCTCCTGTTGCCCATATCCTCCACTCTGCGTCGAAACCAGCAATGAGTTTTCCTGGGGTGGCTGCCAGATAGGGCTGAAAATCTGAATTTCAACTTACTTCCAATGTAAAGAGAAACCACAGCAAGATTTGAAGGGAAAAGGGGATATATTCATCTTCACAATAAAAAGTCACTATAAACCTAGAGGCTCAGCTCTCAAACCTGGTATTACAGGTGTGTCTGAAGTAACGTGTTTCTTATTAGTAGTTTAAATACCAAAGTCTGTAAATGCTACACTTTTAAAAAAGAATAGATGACTGCAGATAAAGTTAGTCATACAACAAAATCACTCAGACACTTCTATGCTTTCTTGAATGAGACAAAAAGGTGGAGTCTGCACTATTAGCACGAGCATCAGCTGTCATGCGTCATCTTGGCTGAAAGGCTGAATGCTGCTCCTACAGAGCAAGAAACAAGGGAGCCCAGGGTCAGAGAGCCCAGGCAGGATGCCAGGGATGAGAGCAGATTTGTAGACTTGTTCCAGTGTCCTGCAACTGGGGGAAAAGGGAGATTAGGAGATGTGGCGACGCAAAGTGAGCTACGTAAGAGGCATGCACTCGAGGCTTTAAGGAAACGGGATTAGCCCTATGCATGTTCAACCGGACATGTCGATACTCATCATTTACATTAGTACAGAGAAGGTGGCCGCAGAGCGGTTACACCAGGTTAAAGGCCAGTTCTTGAGGGGAGTAGCTTTTATAGTTGGGGGTGGAGCTGCATCCCCCTCCCCTCAGTTACTCATGGGAAACCCGTTCCAAGGCCACGTAGAAACTGTTCTTGTCATCTAGGCAATGCCAGCCAATTGGTCCGATTTCACAGTCTGCGCACACCAGAAACTTGATGTTGCCCACGTCCTTGGTGAAGCCCACATTCTCAAAGATGAACATGTCATCAACCAGCCAGTGCTCCTGGAGGAGATCGCCATCAGGATTGCTGCCATCAGCCAGAGCTGGCTTCTTTCTCATGGAGGGAAGGAAAAGCTGCAGTGGAAGAGAACACAAAGAACACGCAGGCTGACTGGCCCAGTCACATCATCACCCCCATTCTGCTTATACTTTACATTGCTCCCTGGAGTTTCTTGGAATGCAAACGAGATGAGCAGCCCTAACACTAAGTTATAGACCAGAATGCTGGGTGGCTTCTCTGTTGCCTCTAGTCCATGCCCAGGTTCTTAAGACACACGAAAGAGGTACCGCGCTGTTGTCATGTGGCTTCGCTGCTGTCCTTATCTGCCTGTTCCTCATCTCCGTCTAGGTCATTCTGCTGCAGCCGCACTGGCCTTCTTGCCTCCTTCCGACAGGGTGAGTGTACTCTGCCCTCAGATCTCGGCAAAGCTGGCTGCTTCATGTATTCAGCTCAAATGCAACCTCTTCAGGAGGCCTTCTCTGACCAATCTGAGTAAGATTCCCATACTGCCCACTGTTTTGTTTTTTAAAATGCCTTTCCTGAGATGTAATCGACACATACACTGCATATATTTAAAGTGTACAATTTGATACATTTTGGCCCATGCAAATACCGATAAACCATTCCCAGCAAGATGACAAGCATATTCGTCACCCCCGAAAGCTTCCTTATGCCACTACCTCTTTCTTAACATTCTCTGAAATTAGTAATTTATTGGCTTAGTTATTTACCATGGGTCTCCCTCCACTAGAATGTAAGCCCCAAGAAAGCAAGGAGCTTACCTTTCCTGTTCACTACTATAACCCCAGCACCAAGAATAACGGATATAGAGTAGGAACTCAAATATTTATCAAAAGAATAAATACAGGATATCTGGCTTTGCTCTAGTCTATCAGTGTTACGTATATGCTGGATTTATCTTACAAAAAGAGCTTTAAAAAGGAAAATCTAGTTCTAGAATTTGGAATATCATCCCGAGGATCCCTGTACCCCCTAATCAACATGGCTTCCCAATCATCAGGACAAAGCCTCACACACATACACACCCTTAATTTCTTCCCTATGGTTAGTTTACGCACCTTTGGCTGCCCCAGCGTACTCGAAGATACGATGCCAGCAAAGCTTGTTACCCCTCTGCCCCTCATTGTTATTGCTGCTGCCAGTACACTTATTTTCCACCCCAGGGTACACTTCCACTGCGTCCCCAAACTCTAATAAAATAGGATGGCCTCAATGTGCTAGTCTGACATTAGCAAGCAGAATAAAAGCAAAAACCTTTTTTTTTTTAATTAAAAAAAAAAAAAAACTGGACTGACATCAGTCCAAAAGAGGCAAATGCTTTGGTAGGGATGAGCAAGCCTCTTCCTGAACTCGACGATTAGGGAATCACAAAGCTGCTAGTATGTATTAAATACCCTGGAGTTTGCACTTCTGAACTCTGGGCCAGATTCTGGCCAGTGGCTGTCCCTAATAGGGAGGAGAGAGCACTGATCCAGAACATTCTACTCCCCATCTTCCCAGCACTTGGCTTAGTAAAACAGGTATCTGTGCACTACCCTATGTGGTGTCACCTGAGACATCATCTGAGGACATCACAAAATAGGACAGTCCCTCCTCCTGTTATATTGTCATTCCAGTCACCCTTTTCACCTCATCTAATGTTTAAATGAATCCCCATTGCTTTGTTTTACCCTAAGTGAAAATGGGAACAGGCAGAAGCAGAGAGGAATCAAAATTCAGGGACCAGGAAACCTGGATTCCAAACCTAGCCGTATCTCTCTGTGGATTTCCTACAAGTATTTCTGGCCTACAGTGTAGGTGTGAAATCATCTTAACTAAACATAAGGCAAGTGAAACTTTAAGGGGAGAAAAATCAAAGACTTTTTAAACATTAGCCTTTAAGAAGTGTCTAAGAAAGGAACATCAGAGCTTCCCTCCCACTGTGTTTTGTTTTGTTTTGTTTTTATAATGCAAAACACCACCTCTGCAGTCCCTTTTTTGAGTAGTGATTTAAGGGAAATACTATTAACCATTCATTCAAGGGGTCAGACTGGATACTGTTCCCTCTCTTTCTCAACATTCCCATTTTTATTTAAATCCTGTAAGTCAGATCCACAAGGCTAGACATATATATGTACATTGTACGTGTATCTGTATGGCTCTCAACCCATTCTCTGTAGTGCCCAGGGCTATTGCAGGGTCAAGTTTTGGGATCTAACATTTGGAATACAATTAGGCTTTCTAGATAAACAATGGGGTGGAAATCAAGAAATTACTATCTCACTTGAGGCTGCTAACTTAGCTGGTTGGGGGCCAAAGTTGCCAGTTACATCCCTGACCAGGTGGGTTAACTGCTCACGACCCCAACCAGTACCCTAATCCTGGAGCATCTCCTCAGAGAGATGGAGAATACCAACTCAGTGAGACTGTCAGTGGAACTCCTTTTCCTTTTTTTTTTTTTTAAGATTTTATTTATTTATTTGAGAGAGAGAGAATGAGAGATAGAGAGCACGAGAGGGAAGAGGGTCAGAGGGAGAAGCAGACTCCCTGCCGAGCAGGGAGCCCGATGTGGGACTCGATCCCGGGACTCCAGGATCCTGACCTGAGCCGAAGGCAGTCGCTTAACCAACTGAGCCACCCAGGCGCCCTCGTTTTCCTTTTTCAAGAACTGCTAACAAGGGCACCTGGATGGCTCAGTTGGTTAAGCGTCTGCCTTTGGCTCACGTCATGATCCTGGAGTTCTGGGATAGAGTCCACATCAGGTTCCCTGCTCAGTGGAGAGTCTGCTTGTCCCTCTCCCTGCTCGTGTGCTCTCTCTCACAAATAAAATCTTTTTTTTTTTTAAGATTTTATTTATTTATTTGATAGAGAGACAGCGAGAGAGGGAACACAAGCAGGGGGAGTGGGGGAAAGAGAAGCAGGCTTTCCGCTGAGCAGGGAGCCTGATGTGGGGCTCGATTCCAGGACCCTGGGACCATGACCTGAGCCGAAGGCAGACTCTTAACGACTGAGCCACTCAGGTGCCCCACTAATAAAATCTTTTTTTAAAAAAAGATTATTTATTTGTCAGAGAGAGAGAGAGAGAGAGCACAAGCAGGGGGAGCGGCAGGCAGAGGGAGAAGCAGGCTCCCTGCTGAGCAAGGAGCCCAATGTGGGACACCATCCCAGGACACTGGGATCATGACCTGAGCCGAAGGCAGAGCTTAACTGAGCCACGCAGGCATCTCTTAAATAAAATCTTTGGGTAAGAAAAACAAAAACTGTCAACACCCTTTTAAAAATATTTTCTCTTTGTAAAAATCCATTCTCATGGTAGAAAACTTGGCAAGCATGCTACAATATGGATGAAAATAAAAACTGTTACAATACAGAGCAAACTTGTGGTAACTTTTTTGAAATTTTCTCCCTTCTGTGAGTATTTGTGATGGTTTTAAAATGTGCACAAATTCTTTGACAATCCTTCCACCAGGAGGTGGAGTCCATGCCTCTCTCCCTGAGCCTGGACAGGCCCCTGTGCTAGCCCCTGATGATTCAAGTGCAGTGGAGGTGACAGGTTAGGTTAGAAAAGGCCAGGCCACTTTTGCCGGTTTCTGTGGGACCACTTGCTCTGGGAGCCTTCAGTGTCTATGTAAGAATTGCGGCTCCTGAGGCCACCAGGTGGAGATGCCCCCGGAGCCTGTCCCGGTGCTCAGGTGTTTGAGTCTTCCCAGTCCACAGGCAGACACATGAGGGAGAGAGCGTTTCAGATAACCCTTCTGCCTGCACACGAAAGACCCCAAATGAGAACTGTCTAGCTAGGCCCAGTCAACTCCCCAGATTGTGAGCAAAATAAATGTTAATGTTTTAAATCACCATTTCTTGGGTGCTCTTGTTACACAGCAATAGAGAACGAGAATATTGCCTAACATAGTTGAAATGCATGTTCCATTCTAATTCCTAATTTTTTGTGATCAACTATATATACATACCATAAAACTTACCATTTTTAAAAAAGATTGTATTTATTTGAGAGAGAGAGTGTGTGTGTGAGCAGGGGAAGAGGCAGAGGGAGAGGTAGAGAGAATCCTCAAGCAGGCTCGCCGCCGAGTGTGGAGGCTGATGTTGTTGGGGGGGGGGTAGCGATCCCAGGACCCAGAGATCACAACCTGAGCCAAAATCAAGACTCAGATGCTCAACCGACTGACCCACCCAGGTTCCACTAAAACTTACCATTTAAGTAATTTTTAAGTGTGTGGTTTAAGTGTGTGGTTTAGTGGCATTAAATAAATATATGTATGTTGTGATGCAACCATCACCACCATCACCACCATCCATCTCTAGAATTTTTTCATCTTCCCAAACTTGGTACTCATTAAACACTAACTCCCCATTTTCCAGTCCCTTGCAACCACCACCGTGCTTTCTTTCTCTATGAATTTGACTACACTTGGTACCTCATGTGAGTGGAGTCATACAGTATTTGTCTTTTTGTGACTAGCTTATTTCACTTAGCATAATGTCCTGATTTTTAAAATGTTTAGTCAGGGGCGCCTGGGTGGCTCAGTCGTTGAGCGTCTGCCTTCAGCTCAGGTCATGATCCCAGGGTCCTGGGATCAAGCCCCGCATCGGGCTCCCTGCTCCGCGGGGAGTCTGCTTCTCCCTCTCCCACTCCCCCTGCTCATGTTCCCTCTCTCACTGTGTCTCTGCCAAATAAATAAATAAAATCTTTAAAAATAAATAAATAAAATGTTTAATCAGTTTTAAAGTTTTTTTAAAGATTTTATTTATTTATTTGACAGAGAGAGATACACAGCGAGAGAGGGAACACAGCAGGGGGAGAGGGAGAAGCAGGCTTCCCGCAGAGCAGGGAGCCCGATGCAGGGCTCGATCCCAGGACCCTGGGATCATGACCTGAGCCGAAGGCAGACGCTTAACGACTGAGCCACCCAGGAGTCCCAGTTTTAAAGTTTTATTGAGGTAACTGAAGGTTCACATGTAGTGAAGAAATAATACAACTAATATGCTAATTAGTTCTATATTAAGAAACAATACAGAAATTCCATGTACCCTGTGTTTGGTAATAGAGTTTTCCCTGATGGTAATATTTTGCAAAACCAGAGTATAATATCACAAACAGGACATCAACACTGATACACTCCACTGATTTTATTCAGATTTCCCCAGTTTACTTGGACTCATTTCTTTGTGTAATGTGTGTGTATACAGTTCTGTCAATTTCACCCCTAGTAAGTTCATGTATCTGCCACCACAGTCAAGACACTGAACAGTTCCACCACCAGGAGGATCCCTCACGTCACTTTTATAACCACACTTACCAAAGCCCCCAGCCCCCAGTTCCTAACCCCGGCAATCACTCATCTGCTCTCCATTTCTAAAACTCAAAAATGGCACAGAAATGGAATCAGACAGTATGTAATATTTGGGGACTGGCTTTTGTTACTCAGCATAATTCCCTGGAGATTCGTCCAAGTTGTATGTATCAATAGCTCACTCCACTGTAGCTCATTCCAGTGGATGGCCGTACCACAGTCTGTTTAGTCATTCCCCTGTTGAAGGACACCTGAGCTGTTTCCAGTTGGGGGACAGTATGAATAAAGGTGCAATGAACGTTCATGTACAGATTTTTGTGTAAACGTTAAGTTTTCATTTCCCTGGGATAGAGGTCCCACAGTGTACTGGCTGGGTCGAAGATTAACGACATGTTTTGCCTCAGAAGAAAGTGCTCTTGGGTGTGCCCTCAGGTCCTCTGCTCTCATATTCTTCACCAAACACTGCTCTATACTTTCTCCTATGAGTTAATCTTCCACTGCCCACTCCTGCCACGAATCTCGCCCTCCAAAAAATGTAAAACAGCAAATTACTCTCTTCTATGATAACATCATCACTGTTTCCTACATTCTCAAACTTTGGTGAGGGTTTCCCTTTCCTCTTTGTCTTCATTGAAGTAAGGCTCTTTGCCGAGGACACCACCACTGGCTCCCCAGTGCTGCCCATTCTCTGACACTCCACCTACTTCAGGATCGGGAACAGGAACCAGTGCTCTCCTTGCTTCCAAATTATTACTCCTACATCCTCACATCCACCTCTGCTTCTTTAAGGTTTCTGCCATCTGGTGATCCCTCACTGTCATCTGAGGTGTCATCTGCACTATCCACAGCTGACTGGCACCTGGCTCAGTCTCCTTTGTGATTCCACATCCTACCCCGACTTGTGAGCTTCTACCCCCCAAGGGGATGAATCATCCCCAGAGCTCCCTCACCTCCTCTATTCCAATCACCTTAACTCCCTCTGGCTTCGTTTCTTGCCAGTTTTAATACATCTGTGTTCTGGCCAAGTTGAACTTTTCAGTTCTTTAAACACCATACTTTTTCTAACAACTGTGAAACATCACACTGCTGTTCCCTCCATCTCTATTCAGCTTCATTATAATTTCCTCTGTCATCAACTTTAGATAAGATTTCAAGAACTCCCAAGTTCAACGGTATGAACATTTTATATGTAAAACCAAACCAGTTATAGGGGCACTTGGGTGGCTCAGTCGGTTAAGCGGCTGCCTTCAGCTCGGGTCGTGATCCCAGGGTCCTGGGACTGAGCCCCACGGTGGGCTCCTTGCTCAGCGGGGAGCCTGCTTCTCCCTCTGCCTGCCGCTCCCCCTGCTTGTGCTTCTCTCCCCCAACCTCTGTGTCAAATAAATAAAATCTTAAAAAAAAAAGTTATAGGGCTTACAAAGGACACATGCTGCACCAACAGTGACATACTAATCCATTCTCTCCATGCTAACCCATTATTTACACTGGGCTAATAGCTTTGTTCACTTATTTATTTAAATCTAAGTATCAAGATCTTACTTATGTACACAGTCTTAAGTGTAGGAGATACACAGGTGGGCAGGATACAGGACCTCATAGGCTAGTGGTATAAACAGCAAATACTAACAATATCGTAAGATCAACTGAGATTATAGATGTGAATGTGCTCTGTTGTCTTTAGGCCATGGTTTCTCAATCTTGGTACTACTGACAATTTTGGGATGGAGAATTCTTTGTTGTGGGGCCAGGGGCAGTGGGGGTTGGTGTCTTATGCTTTGCAGCAGCATTCCTGGCTTCTACCTACTAGGTGCCGTAGCACCCTGTTATAGACTGAATGTGTTTCCCCCCAAATTCTTATGTTGAAACCTAACTCCCAATGTGATAGGTCATGAGGGCAGAGCATATTTTTAGGGACAGTTCTGAGTGATAGGCTATGCACATAGCTGAAATGAAATTATACTTTACACTTTCCTGTGGGTATGTTACATCTCAATAAAAATTTACCAAAATAAAAAATTGTTTTCAACTTTCCCCTTTGGGGTGATGTAGGAAGGAGATTAAAATCTGTAACTTGAAGAAAAGATTAAAATAGAAATTAAATCTTCCTTCAAAATTGAGTTTCAGGACTTGATGTGTCCATCCCACTTGAAATAGGATTCGTTTGAGAAACTGCGTTCCACCCAGTACCTTGGTAAAGCGTGGGTTACGGGAGTCATCTGTCACATCCCCTACACCAAAGTTGTTTCTGGAGCTCCTTCTGGGGCGGAGTGGCGCCCAACAGAAGGGAGACCGGCGGGTGCACTGTGATGCGGGCCGCGAGTCCAGGTACACGGGCGCCATCGGGCCGCTCCGCAGCGTGGAGCTTCAAGAGCTGCGGGCGTCCCGGGGCGCCGGGCCCTCGGAAGGCGGCGGGCTCGGCTCAGCCCTGCACCGCACGCGGAACAGCAGCGTCCACACCTAGCGCGGGCCTAGGGCCGGGGGTCCGGCCGGCCCGGGAGACCGGCCCCGGGCTGCGCTCCGGCCGCGCAACTCCGGCGAGGGCAGCCTCGGGCGGAGCCGGGCCGCGACGAGGGGCGCGGTCTCCGGAAACGCGCGCGGGGACCCGGACTCCAGCCTCCGCGGCCCCCTGTGAAGGCGTGCGGGTGAGAGCCGCCTCCAACCTGCCTCCCTACCTGTCGGCGGGAGAAGAGAGCGGTCCCTGGCTGCAGCACCCGGGAGCCACAGCGTTGGCACAGCACCGCCTTCCGGTTTCGGCCCTCGGCTGACACTAAGTCGTTCAGCGGCTCGGCTGGTTCCATCGCCGCTACTGCCACAGTTTCCTCGACCACGACCGCGCAGGCGCTGTCTTTGCGGGCTCTTTTCGGAACTGCGCTGGCGCGGCTTTCAGAGACGGGGCGGGGAACGGGCGGTCACTCCCCCTCTGCGCAAGCGTCCGCTTCCCCCGCTCCGGATTCTGCTGCGCAAGCGCCTCATTCATTGCTTAACCTGAGTGGTTAGGTGTCCGCTGCCTTTGTGACAGGGTCACTCACTTCCTGGGACGTGAACAAATCCTCTCTTCATACTCACCTGGTCACTAGCCTTCCCTTACTATTCAGTAAAACCCGGGTAGATAATTCCCGAAAGTTGACCATACCTTTTAGTTTACTGAGATTTGAATTTAGTCTTATAAACGAACGGGGACGTTTCTGGAGGCAATGTGAAGGAATCTGGGTCACACTACACATCAGCAAGTTTTATCCACATTAGTTTCTTCAGTAAGAGACTACTTAGAGGGACATGTACCTTTTTGGTGTTGGGAAAAGATGCCTGGAAACTTTAATTGCTGGTCTCTGTTCTGATCATAGTGACCATTTACTACGTGGCAAAACACCGTGTTGAAATGCTTTAGAAACAAACCTATTGAATCATCATGATTTCCTTATGGGGTTGTCACTAATTACTCCCAGTGCACAACTGAGGAAGGTGAAGATCAGAAAGGTTACTTTCCAGGGTCCACAGATCCAGGCATGGCTTTAAAGCCACTGCTCTTGGGGTCATTACACTACACTTCCCAGTTCCATTTGATTAGTCCATAGATCTCTAGTTTATCAGTTCTAGTGCATTAGGCCATGGATATCCTGAAATGGCAAGGGAAGGGGAATATGAAGGGGAACTAAGCTACTTGATTAGGTAATGTCTAATCTACTCCTCACCCCCATTTGCATGTTTTTCTTTTTCCTCTTTGTCCTTCAGTAATTCAACATTTAGTGTAATATAACTAAACCCCGAGGATACAATGATAATAGGCACCCTATATTTGAGAACACAGTCTAAACAGGAAGACATACCCCAAACCAATGACATATGATAAAGACAATCCTGGGAACAAAGTAAACAGAAGCCAGGATTAGGGAATAATCCCCAGCTGGAGAGTCAGAAAAGGCTTTACCTAGGTGACATTTGAATTAAGCATCAGAGTGTGACTAGGATTTTGTCTGAAAAGCAAGATTTCAGATAGAAAAACCGTAGAATACCTGAACAAAGGTGAGAACAAATTTAAGAATGGTTAGCAGTCCACTGAACACATTATACCTAAGCTGAGAGAGGAGAGTAGAGGGAGGCAGGATCAGAATGGTAGAGCGGGCCCAGAGCACCATGGGCCTAAAGTCATGTGAAGGAATTTGAACTTTATAATATGGGCAATGGGAATCTATAGAATTTTAGGCCAGAAATAACTTTGATATTCACTGAATATTTGCTGTATATTAGGTATTGTAATGATCCTACTTGTACTTCTGGAAGAACACTGATGACAAAACGGAGGGGCTACACTGGAAAAAGGAAGAGTAGAGGTAAAGCTGTCAGGAAGCTATTACTCCGTGAGTCTGGGCAAGAGCTAAAGGCCTGAACCGGGTGGCAGCGGAGAGAATACAAACACAGGAATGTATTCGGAACTCTTAAAGATAAAATTATGTAGAAGGCAGAAATGAATTGGATGTCTGTATTGTAATGGGGATGACACAAGATAAATGACAGACCTCTGAGACTGGATAACTAAGTGGCTGGCTGCCATCTGAGAGAACTAGAAAAACAAGAGGAACCCCCAAATTAGGGGTACCTCTGTGCATGTGCATGAGCAAAGTGCGTAGGACTGGCAAGAGTGGAGAGAGAGCAAGAGTTTCAGTTTTCTGCAGAATATTCAGTTGTGGCTGCCACATGAAGAACTATTTGGGAATTTGGTCTGAAACTCGGAAAAATCAGCAGTAAAGATAACCATCAGTTCTTTACTCCCCACTTCTCTGCCTGCCCTGCATCTCTTCCTGATAGGACGAGTCACATGTTTCATAGCTGTGGTTTGATCAGCAGGCACAATCCATCTGCTGAGGAAACGTTGGCAGGCTCCTTTAGAGAAAGTAACTTCCTCTTGGGCTCCCCAGTCGCTTTGCTCTGGAAATACAGGATTTTTTGCAGTTTTGCAGGCCTTCTGCATAGCTGTTTATATAAATCTAAGCAAACAGAAATAGGACTGGAGTGACTAAAACCCTGAAAGTCAAGTGAGTATTAAATGAGCTCAAGATTGAGTCTTTATTCTATTTGGCATTCAAGTAAATTCCAAGTGTGAAAGGAGTCAATAAATATGCAACTTTAATATAAATATTTTACTGATGAGAATCTCTGCAAGGGTAAAGGGGCTACCTCTTACCTATGTGTAGCAGAGCTAGTTGGCTAACACATAAGGTGAACGGGGAGAAGAGACAGGACATACAGCTGATTGCTAGGCCTGCTCCCCCCAAATATCTGCAAGACAGTGCTGGTTAGCCATGAACTCTCTTACAGGCATTTGAGACAATTGATTTTTAATATTTTCTTAAAAAAATACAAAGGAAATGAACTCTTGAGGTCAATACAACTCAGGGAAAGAGGAAAAAATGAAATTTTGGAATAAAGGGAAAGTGCATCCTTGTTTAGGTTATCACATCCCCAACACTCCCAATACCCACAAAACCAAGAATTTCACTCCAAAACACAGGGGAAACTTGAATGGTGGCTCAGAAATGGCGATAGCAAGTACTGGAACTAACAAAAGGATTTTGGTTGTCCTTGATTATTCTGTCCTGGATGAATAAAATCCACTCTAAGGACAGGTGAGGGAATCTTATAGTAGGAAAAGGATTAATTGTACCAAACACAGCAGTAATAAGCACTCCTCAGCAGAAGGGTGCCCTTAAAAGAATGGAGCAGTAATCAGGTAGCTGCACTTTTAGGCTGCTGACACCCCCACCCCATCCCCAAATAAATAGTAATGAAGTATAATAGTGTAGTAGTATTTGATTCAACACAGAAAGATAGTCTCTCGCCCACTCAAGGCAAACCATGCCATGGATAGCTGAGCCCTGGGCAGGAAATAAGACAACTGTAAAATCACAGGTACTTCTAGTTTGTTCCCAGGCATACCGAACTCCCACATTTATTCCATGTCTGCTCAGCCCAACATTTGTTCACTCTTATTGTCAGTCTCCAGTGCCAAGATGCGCACCATTCTAGTTCAGAAAGACCATGGGGAAATAAAAAGATCCTTCCAATAATACCCCCTTTAAGTCCTCCAGGTTATACTTTAGTGGTGTTCTAGGTTCACTCACATTCCATCAAATTCTGTTGACTTCCCTTACTCCAAACCCAGTTCTGATACACCAACCCTGTGCCTTAAGGGAGTGCCAGGTCTCTCCCCAAGCCCCCCAAAATTTTGACAGGGGGCTTTTCCCTTTGTTATCCTCCAGAATGGAACTGTGTTGCACCTAGCTACTGTAGACTAGGAAAGATATTCCTGGAAAACAAGACTTGGATTTTACCCAGCTGACTCAAGTTCGTATCCTTCCAATCATTTACGCTGGATACCGCCCACATCTAGTAGGTCACACTCACCTTCCTTCTCTGCAATACATGAGGCACAGCAGATAGAGAGATTCTCCTGAGCACGTGAGAGTACTCTCTAGACCAGAAGGAGAGGTGATCTGGCCTCTCAGATCCATTCAGTGTGCACGGTCTTCCCTTGAGTGTCTGTTACCCACCCTCCTCAGGGACAACACCCAGCGCAAGGCGCAGTGCGTATCAAATAAGTACAATCATCACTGCACCGGTGCTTTGATTAATCACCCTGTGTGCACAGTGAGAAATAAGATATTCTGGGAAGGATCCTCGACTCTCCCGTAAACTGTCCCGTGGACTGGTCACTAGCCCTGGATGGTGCTCCAACAATGGTCACTTCTCTCGAAGAACACACACGCCAGCATCACAGCGCTGGGTTCCCATGGATGTCACTACTTCCCAGTTGTCGATGATAGGGTCATAGCACTCAATGCTACTCAGCAGGGAATTCCCATCATATCTGAGTGGGGAAGAAGCAAAAGAAGAAAATGAACTTTCTATTTCTTTCCATACAGTCCCTACATTAAAGGTTGCCACTGGAGATGTCTCCCCCAACCCGAAGGCAGTCTTGATCCAAAACTTCTGATTGGATCATGTGGTCCTGGATGCATGATGACTCTAGTGTGGCTTCCAAATCCTTACCCTGCAATAGCATAAAGTCTCCCCCGAAGCACCGTTGCCCCTACATAGCATCGTGGAGTGGTCATACTAGTGACAGTCGTCCAGGAATCAGTGCGAATGTTGTATGCTTCAACAGAAGAAAGGTGGGCTGTACCATCAAATCCCCCCACCACATAAATATGGTCATTCAGCAGGGCTACTCCTGCACCTGGAGGAAAAAAGGGCATAGCAAGTGAATACTACTAAGCTTAGGATCAGAAATTGAAAAACAAAACATGATCACTGATGGCTAGCTGAATTCTAAGGTAGCTGAGGGATGCAGACTAGGGCCAGACAGCCCTAGAATAATCTAGTTGTCTTTATTATCACTATATTTAGAGAAAAGACAGGCAAAGAGGAAAATGGAACCTCACTCCTTTTACTATAAGTGTACAGTGAGGAAAGAACTACAACTCTGATTTGTTGATCCCCTATTTTTGACTGCAGCACCACTGCATATATAAAGATTTGTCAGCATGGTCCACTGTCCTCTCCCTTAGATATGACTGGTCTTACCAGAGCGCTTGGTGGCCATTGGTGTAACATTAGTCCAGTGTCCTGTGTGGGGATCATATTTCTCAACTGAATTTAAGATATTCAGGCCATCATATCCTCCTGAAAAAATAGAGACCGTTTCAGAAAGAATGGGAAATCCTCATGCGCATTCCCAGGCTGCCTTTCTCTTGAGTGTTTCAATTAATTCTTTTAGTTTTAGTTCTTAAGAGTTTCAGTAATCCAGGGGCGCCTGGGTGGCTCATTCGTTGGGCATCTGCCTTCGGTTCAGGCCATGATCCCAGGGTCCTGGGATCGAGCCCCGCATCAGGCTCCATGCTCCGCGGGAAGCCTGCCTCTCCCTCTCCCACTCCCCCTGCTTGTGTTCCCTCTCTC